GAGTAGTGGCTTTAGCGAATATTGTTAGACGGTTACAATAAATGAGGAGGTAAGGGAATTGGGGACGTACGCTAGAAGATTCATTTAGCAATCATTGGATGGGGGGCTGTTAAGCACTCCATAGGAGCCTAGCTCTGTGGCAGTTAGATCATTGAATCTTCTGTAAATCTTCTTACCATCATACAATAATAGCCATTAATTTCTATCAGCTTCTATCCTTTTGTCTTAAATTTATTTGTTATTGTCGGTACCTAACACACACCTCCTAAATTTGTTTAGAGATGATCATGCTTGAATTTTTTTTTGTGGAATAGTGCCAAAAGGCATAACAACATGTACAGATCATGCCCTTATTATCAATAACCATTATTAGAGCAAAAACCCGATGCACCAAAGACAAATAAAATATTTTTGTTTTCTCAAACCAGATCATATACATATTTGGTTTTCAAGGCAAACCTTATAGAGGAATGAAATGTAAAGCTTTTGCAATTAATAATAATAATAATAATAACTTAATAATAAAGGTCACCTTCGAGCAACAGGACGCCTTATAAGTACCCTTGGTGCATGTTTCTTCTGCTTCTTATCTATATATTTCTCCTGCACATATATCATGAGCTTCAGTTCACTCCAATGTAAACAAACAATTTGGTCTTTAAAAGATGTTCATTTTACTTGTGTTGTTATTATCCCGAGAGTAGCCATTTTGCTAAAGAATTCACCCTTCGGTTATTCGGTATCTTTAGTGAACCCTTGTAAAGAAGTTGATGTAGAATGTTATATGCACACGTCTAATACTATTTTCGTATTATTATTATTATATCATCTTAATGCCCTTATAAGTAATATTTTACACTCGCTCACTAGCACCAAATGCCAAAAGGGTGGACTGGTTTGTAGAGACACAACACAAAGGGGATTAAAATAGTACAAATAAGATTTATCAAAAACCAAATTACACTGTTATTCTAAAAATAAACTACATAATGTCTTTATACACTTAGATATATACATGTGAGAAATGGTGTTTTCTTATCAAATGTTGCACTTTTGGTAATGACAGCTTCAACTATGTCATCACCCTTGGCACCATTATCGATCAACGACCGGTTATCTCTTGACTCACTGTTGGGTTGATCATCTTTTGACTCGGCTTGTAAATGACAATCTTTTATTTCTTCAATGTTATTAACATTACCTAAATGTCAGATCAAGGTGTACCGTGCAGGTTAGAGTGAGAATACAAGCCCAGAATGCACATTCTTAGGGCTTAATAGATTAAAAAAAAAAGGAGGGACATGCCTTTGGATTTGAATGGCGATAGAAAAGGTGCCATCCGAAGAAGTGTCAAATTGAAAAACAGTACCGAAGGGGTGAGACGAGCGAAGTCGAGACGGTGACCGTCTTTTTTATCGATATCAAGCAAGACGCTGCAGCCTTCCCATGTGACTCTGGAACTCGGTTTGTTGTTGTTTTCTGTTGAAGACATTTTTCTGAATTCTGAATTAACACTATTGTGGATATGACATGATAGATAGAAGAAGAGTATAGAGAAGATCCTTCAACTGAAAATTATGTTTTTCTTTTGCTTTTTGTATTATGTTCGGTTGCAGTTAACTTGTTTCAGTTATACTGATGTTGATGACGTCATAAACCCTGAAACGGAAAGAGACTCAAACTAGGGTACAACTTTTTTTCTGTGAACTTTATTAATGCACCTATGCATTATACAACACCTCTTAAAAATACTTTTATGTTCGAGATTCGAGAGATATATATTTAAACGCACTAAAACTCAATTCATTTCTTAATTAAATTTTAAATCAATTGAAAAAATTAATTAAAGATACATCTATATATATTTTATGTAGATGTTCTCTGAACGCATCAAAAGTCAATGTAAATTTGGATGAGACTCTAATTTCACGTGCAATTATTCCGGAGATATATCTTCGTAAAATTTACGTAGATGCATCTTTGGACGCTCTTCGTTTAAAATTGAGCCAAAAATCTTTCATCTTTCTGCCTTACTCAAACTCTCTCAAAACTTATTTTCTCAAACTCCCTCAAACCTCATTTTTTTTAACTCTCTCAAACCACATTCAAGTAACATCAAACAACATCAACCAACTTCAAACATCCAACTTCAAGAAACATTAAGCAACAACAAGCAACTTCAAGACACTATTTATACGTTTTTTTCCCTTTTTTTGAGTTTATGTATAAATGTGTAGAAGTTGATTATAAGTTATAAAATAGATAGATGTTACATGTTTGATAGCCTATACCTAATGAGTAACCAGTTAGATAGATAGTTTTTACTATCAATGCATTAGTTTTAAGGATTTGGGGGTCTGCATTTTGTCATTGACGGTAGTTATAGTTACAGGTCATTACAAATATGCATATCCGAAAATTTATGATATATATTCAGAAATTGGAGTTGCTTCTCTGTAATCAATCAGTCTACAATATTTTTCTTTTTTTGTACATAACTCATTGTGTAATGTTTGTCTATTTACAAGAATTATGGATGATAAACAATTTCGATTGAGACACGGCAGGATTGTACAACATGTTTGGAGGGAAAAGAGTCAATCGTCGCATGCTCATGTTACCTCTAGCCTGGTTGGTGCGGAAGCGTCAGGTTTTGGGGCTCATGTATCTTTGCCTTCTTCTTCTTCCTATAGTAGGGGAGCCCCCCCCCCCCCCCCCCCCCCCCCTCGTGCACCATTGCCTTCATCTTTCCGTAGACGACTGAGTTTGCCTATTCAGATACCCGAGGCAGTAGAGGTATCCGAGTCATCTAAGGTACCTAAGACACTAGAGGCACATGAGGCATCTCAGGCCCATGAGACAGCGGCGCCACTTGAGGCATCCCAAACCCAAGAGGTAAAGGTGGCAATAGAGGCACCTCAAGATTTGGAAGAAAATATGTCCGACTTATCACTGCTGCCTCTTTACTTGGACCATGATTCCATACATATATGGGACGAAGAGGTAAATTTTAGTTGGAATTTGAAGTTGTGTTTGTTGTAATATTAAATTATGTTTGTTGGAATCATTCTTGTTAAACTATGTATATAGAAACATGATCCGCTAAAATTCATCAACCATGGACGGAAGATTACTGGCTTGATTCTGCCTAATGAGTTGTGGTTTCGAGAAGTTTTACAGTTATCCAGAATGCGATATTGGTTATGTTACGGTTAATTATGGTATGTTTAATGCGTTTGTAGAAAGATGGCACACAGAGATGTCTTTATTTCATCTACTACATGGTGAGATATACCAATGACGAGGCACTGGAGTTGATGGTATAATATCTAGGAGTTGACCTAGAGATTGCCATGGAGGATTTTGATTTCATCTGAAGGGATCATGCTAGGTTTACCTTCTTGAAGAAATTGTTTACAAATGAGATACCGAGAGCGCAACAAGATGTTGGTGATAATGAACAGGTATGGCAGCATAAAGCGTATGCTATGAGTGCATACATATTGTATTTGGTTGGCACTGTCATTTTTATGGACAAGAGTGTCACTTATGTGGATGTCATCTACATGTGATACTTCGAGGACTTTGAGCCGATCCATGATTATAATTGGGGATTGCTTGTTTGATCTACTTGTATTATAAGTTATCTGAAGGTTATTTGTGGAAGACAAAGCAGGTGATAGGAAGTGTCACACTTTTGACGGTAACATTTCTTGGTTTTTAGTGCTTGCGTGACATTTTCATTAAATTTTTGCAATGTCGTTACTAACTAATGACTCGTGTGTTCCAACATTTTTCAGGCTTGGATCCTTTATCATTTCCCACACATCTCTGATTGGTCATGTCTACCGACTTATACTGAGGATATGCCACGCGCTTCTGCATTCTCATCGCTCATAAAAAATCATGCGACAGAGTCATTCAGAGTGTATATTGATTGCTTGGTAGCATGGGATATACAGTTCCATTGTTATGTCGATCACCTTCCACTTATCATAACAACCCCGGCACGATCTCAAATCTCTTCATTTTATCTTAAGGTGTTCTGCTAACTCAAGTTGAGGTGCATAAACACTCATAACAATAAAGATGCCTTATTCCACTACAATTTCCTAGGTTATGATTTGATCTCCTACTCTTTTCACATCCACAATATTCTCCTTCCACTCTTTGTCCACAATAATCCCCACCCTATTTCTCAAGTTGTCTAATTCTTTTATTTTTTCACCTGTTCACTTAATTTCTTGTAAGCACGTAAATTTGATCTTAACCATCATGTTCATTATTTCCATAGATTTTCAAGTAAACATGTCTATATTCCATGATCCAAAACAGATTATACTAACTTCTTTATCCACACCCGTTCACAAAAATGTGAAAACTCTTGTTTATTTTTCATTGCCTACAGGCAAGATCCAACAATCCTTGTTCTTTTAACACCGTGCTCAAACCATATAGTGTGTTGCTTCCAAGCAAGGATCTAACATTCACATTATTTCATAATTGATCCATATCATAGAGATTTAACAAAAGTTTTATGTTGGTTATCACTTGAACACAATCCTCTTCTTTTATCTAGAATGAGACCAATTATGTATAGCAAAGCTAACCCATGCAGAATTATTTGACTAAATCACATCTACTCAAATATTTCAAAAGGGAGAAATCAGTGTATTTCAAAGGGGAGAAAACAGTGGATAAGGAAAAAAGATTATTATTGAAGGCAGGTAACTAATATTAATAAAAGTGATCATCCTACAATATTGAGATTTATGAAAGTGATGTACCAAAAAATATTGGAAAAACAACCGTGACAGTTTCACTATAACTATTTTTTGAATAAAAATGAAATAAAATAGAAAAACTATAAAGTACAAAAATAATATTACAGCCCGCCGAAAACAATTGAGGTAGTTAATCAACTAGTGTACATTGGCGGTATTTAGCCTTTGGCTGAAAAAAAAAAGGTGTAATCATGGCAGAAGATCTTGGAGCTGGTATCAACTGCGGCAGATCTTTGTCCCACTAAGAATGTAACCTCCAAAAGCACTCATTTGCATATGAGGGTGAGTTCTTGATGGAAGTACCTACATCATAAGTATATTATTAAATTGTTAATTATTTAGACATAATTGATCATCGAAATTGACAAATAAATAATACCTGGTATTCACGTAGCCACGGCTCAGTTATTTGCAATCCAATGGCCAATTTCTCAAACTGCAGATTGTGCATGCAAGTTGCTAGAGGCTGCAGTTTATGCAACAAACAAACATGATTCTGTTATCAACTGAGTGGGCAGAATCATAAACATAGTATTTAATGACAAAGGAAGCATTGAAAGTTTTAAAAATGTGCTATTGTTTTAAAAATGTAAGTTGGAAAATATTTGATCTTTTAAAAATGTGCTATTGTTCATGATCTATCTTTTATATGATCCTATAATGTTTGATCCTTAACATAAAAGAAGACAAATTAATTGGACCAAAAGTACCTGAAGATATTGGTGATAAATAGCAAATGGGGCAGAGTTAGATAACAGTGGTAAGAGGTCTCTAACCACTGTCCAAGTATCCAAGTCTGGTGCAGCAATAATTAGGCTGTACAAATTTATAATTAAAATAAAAATCAACATTGAGATTTTTTTAACAGTGAGTCAGTCAAAATACTTGGCTTTAAAGTTGAAATACCTAGAAAAACCATTTTCCTTCCACGAGTCAAGGATCTCTTGAGACGCCTTTTCTCCAGCCTTTGTAGCTTTGTGAGCTTTTAGAACAGGAAATGTGGTATTTTCAGCACCAAGATCAGAAATTCCATTTTCTGGTGAATGAGATGCTTCCTCCATGCTGACCGATACACTCATTTGATCCTGCAACTTCACAACATTTGATAAATTGTTCAAAAACAGTAAAGATAAAACTGATTAGAAGATCAAGAAACTGCAACTTACAATTGACTGGCTTTCCACGATACCGACATCATGTTCCGGGTTTTGTTGAGGTGATTCCTTTGGTGACAACAAGTCTGATATGGAAGACCTTAAAATTCTGGAATAAATAAATGATGTTAATAACACCAGAGGCAATAAACAAAACTTAGGAACATGCACATTCAAACAAGTTGTGTAAAGTACTACTAATTTTCTTTGGTTCTTAGATACAAACAAACCAAGCCTTATCCCACCAAGTGGGATCGGCTACATGGATCAACTTCTGCCATAATATTTTATCCGGGACCATGCTTCTATCCAAATTGTTAATTTTGAAATCATTCTTTATTAGAGTAATACAAATATAGCATAGTAGAAATAGACTAAGGAATATATTTGTAAGCAGCTAAACTGTTAAGTTTAGACTGCATAGCCTCACTATATAAACTCAATCTTATCTTGAGATGTAACTAACTTTGAGAAATACAGAATCAGTTGCAACTAACTCTCTTCTCTCTCTCTCTACTCCTTCTACATTTCTATTATGGTATCGAGAGCTTCTTGATCCATTTCAATGGCTTCCGATAGCGATAGCTCTGACAACACCGTCCAAAGTGTGGTGGTGCGCGTCGGTGTATCGTCCATTTTCAACCTGAAAAACGTGTTCAAGACGTTTACGCAACATGTAACACTGAAACTTGATAAAAACAACTTCAGATCGTGGAAGCAACAGATCAAAGGAATCATTTGAACGCATCATCTTCGTCGTTTGCTGGTAAATCTGGTTATTCCATCGCGATATCTCTCCGATCATGATTGCGCCGCCGATAAGGAGAACCCTGAGTTTCTCGTTTGGGAGCAGCAAGATTCGCTGCTGTTTACGTGGCTTCTCACCACGTTATCCGATGTTGTGCTTCCTCGCGTGATCCGATGCGTCCATTCTCACCAGATCTGGGACGAAATTCATCAATATATCTTCGCTCACACGAACGCGAAATCGAGGCAACTTCGTTCGGAGTTGAAGTCCATAACCAAAGGTGATAAATCCATTACTGCTTATCTTACTCGCATTCAAAGGATTGTTGATATTCTTGAATCAATTGATGATCCTATTTCGCATCGAGATCAACTTGAAGCAATTCTTGATGGATTGCCAGAGGAATATAATGCCCTAGCCTCTATTATCCAGTATCGTGCAATCTAGTGTCCTATTATTGAGGCAAAGTCAATGCTTCTTGCTCATGAAGTAAAGCTGGAAAAATCAAAGAAAGCCACTCTATCTGAGCCTCTTTTTGTGCAAAGCCAGGGCATGATGCCAGTATTTGCTATCATAGACACATTGCGTTGATGCCTACAGCACAAAGACCAGCATGGAATCAATGGCTTAACCCTGCTATATCTCAACCTACTGCACCAGGTGGCTACAATCAATGGTTCCCTGCTCCTCCTGCTCAAGCCCCTATGCAGAATCAATGGCTTCCTCAAGCTCTCAAAGGTCCTCCTCCTGGTTTTGTTCCAAATTCCATGTATCAGCCACAGGCTCACTTCACTGGGAGAGGCTTTCTGGCACCAGCTAATTTCACACAGCAGGCTTCACCCTGGTATCCAGACTCAGGTGCTACACATCATGTAACTAATAATGTTGATTATCTGTCTGAGAGTGTAGCTCTACCTGAGAGTGTAGCTCTACCTGGCACTGAACAAGTTTTACTTGGTAATGGCCAAGGTTTGCCCATTACTTCCATTGGCCCTGCTTATTTCAATTCACCTTGCAAAGCACACACACCTCTCACTCTCAGAAGTCTTTTGCTTGTTCCTCACATTACCAAAAACTTGATGTCTATGAGTCAATTTGCCAAAGACAACAATGTCTTCTTTGAATTTCATTCTGATAGGTGCTTTGTCAAAACACAGGGTGATTCCAGCATTGTGCTCCAAGGGTTTCTCAATAAAGATGGCTTGTACACTTTTGGTTCACTACAACCAGTTTCCAAGTCTGCTTCAAAGTCTTCTGCCTCTATAAATAATGTGTCCAAGACATCTATGCAACCAACCATGTCCAGTTCCTCAACCTATATTATGTGGCACAACAGGCTTGGTCAGCCTCACCATGAAGCATTGGAGTCAATCCTACAACTATGCAACATTCCTGTGCCTCATAAGTCTCCCTTGGATTTTTGTGCTCCTTGCTGCTTGAGAAAAATACACAGATTGCCTAGTACACTTTCACACACAAATTACAATAGACCTTTTGTTTTGCTGTTTGCCGATGTATGAGGCCCAACTCCTATGGATTCCAGTAGTGGCTATAAGTATTTGCTTACTTGTGTTGATGCTTATTCTAAATACACTCGGGTGTTTCCTATCAAGTTAAAATCTGAAGTGTTGCTCGCACTCACACACTTTATCACAGCCATTGAAGTCCAGTTCTCAACTCATTTTTTAAAGGCAGTTCAGACTGATGGTGAAGGGGAGTTTAAGTCACTCACCTCCCTATTTCACTCCAAAGGCATTGCAAATAGGCTTGCTTATCCACATACACCCCATCAGAATGGTTCAGTTGAGAGGAAGCATAGGCATGTAATGGAAAAAGGGCTAGCCTTGCTTGCTCAAGCAAGCCTCCCTCTTAAGTTTTAGGATCATGCTTGCTTAACTGCAGCTTATCTAATTAACAGAATGCCTACCCCCTTGTTAGAGATGAAATCTCCTTATTTCATGCTCTACAACATTGTCCCTGACTATAAGTCTTTAAAAGCATTTGGTTGTGCATGCTTTCCACACCTCAGACCTTACTCTGCTCACAAGTTCAACTTTCACTCTCAAGAGTGCATTTTTCTGAGATATTCTTCCAATCATAAGGGATACAAGTGTTTGGCTCCCACTGGCAGAATCTATATCTCTAAGAATGTCATTTTTAATGAGACAAGGTTTCCCTATACTTCCTTGTTTGCTTCTTCTGCAGCCTTCTCTAACACCTTTGTTCCCAACACTACTGCTTCTCCTTTTCCTCTTGGGCTTACTTCTCTCAAGGTACCAAACCCTGTACCTCTCACTGCCATCCCTATTTCATCAAGTCCATCATTTGTCCCTGCCTCAACATCCTCTTCTCCCCATTCATCTATTCCTAGTCCTGTCCAAACCTGTGAATCTGCATCTCACAGCTCCTCAGCACTCTCTTGACATTTCTCACCCTGCTCTCCCTGTTATTCACCCCCAAAATACTCATGCCATGACAACCAGGGGTAAGAATGGTATAGTCCAACCAAGAAAGCATCCTACCTTGCTTCTGACTGAGCTTGAACCTTCCTCCTATAAAATTGCTCTCAAGGATCTCAAATGGGTGGCTGCTATGCAAGAGAAATACAATGCTCTCCTCAATAATCACACTTGGGATCTTACTACTCTACCCCCCAACAGGTAGGCCATTGGCTGCAAATGGATGGGACTGTTAATAAAATACAAAGCTCGTTTAGTAGCCAAGGGATTCCATCAGCAGCATGGTTTTGACTTCACTGAGACTTTTTCACCTGTTGTCAAACCTGTCAAAGTGAGTTTTGTTAACTATTGCTATAACAAAAGGGTGGTGCCTCACTCAGTTGGATGCTAACAATGCCTTCTTAAATGGCATTCTCCAAGAGGAAGTGTACTTGGAGCAACCCCTTGGCATTAAACAAGCCTCTAAAGGCATTTGGTTTTACTTCAAACATGTGTGATCCTTCTCTATTTACACTCATTACTCCCACCTACACTATCTACATGCTAGTCTATGTAGATGACATTATTGTCACTGGCAACTCCCAACCTCACATTCAGCAGCTCATTCAAAAGCTAAACTCTCAAATTGCCCTGAAGCAGCTTGGGACACTTGAGTATTTTCTGGGCATTGAAGTCATTCATCATGCTAATGGTTCTTTGTTTCTCTCTCAAGCAAAGTATATCAAGGACTTGCTCTCCAAGGCAAATATGGCCGAATCCAAAGGGCTGCCTACTCCTATGATTACTAGTCTCAAACTGTCAAAACATGGGACAGATGTACTTCAAAACCCTACTTTCTATAGGTCTGTTGTTGGAGCCTTGCAGTATGCCACACTCACAAGGCCTGAGATTAGTTTTGCTGTGAATAAAGCTTGTCAATTTCTTTCCAATCCCTTGGAAAGTCATTGGACAGCTGTGAAGAGGATTCTCAGGTATTTAAAGGGAAACTTGCATCATGGACTCCTGCTGCAACCTACTTCTACTCAGGCAGCTGTCTCCATTAAAGGGTTTTCTGATGCAGATTGGGGATCTGATCCTGATCCTGATCCTAATGACAGGAGATCCACCTCTGGGTCCTACATTTTTCTTGGCCCAAATCTGGTCTCTTGGTGGTCCAAAAAGCAAACCCTTGTTGCCAGATCAAGTACTGAAGTTGAGTATAGAGCTCTAGCTAACTCAGCTTCAGAAATACTTTGGATTCAATGCCTTTTAACCGATCTTCAGGTTCCTTTTACTAACCATGTGATGTTTTGTGAAAACTTGAGCACAGTTGCCCTGTCACATAATCCTATTCTTCATGCCAAAACCAAGCACATGGAGCTAGACATATTTTTCCTTAGGGAAAAAGTCTTAAGCAAGACTTTACTGGTTCAGCATGTTCCTGCCTTTGACCAGTATGCAGATCTGCTCACAAAACCTCTTTCTCCCCAAAGGTTCCTACAACTCAGATCTAAGCTTCAGGTTCATGATAAAGTGTCCCTGCTACAAACAAGACCTTCCTCTTGAGGGAAAGATATTAGAGTAATACAAATATAGCATAGTAGAAATAGACTAAGGAATATATTTGTAAGCAGCTAAACTGTTAAGTTTAGACTGTATAGCCTCACTATATAAACTCAATCTTATCTTGAGATGTAACTAACTTTGAGAAATACAGAATCAGTTGCAACTAACTTTCTCCTCTCTCTCTTCTCTCTCTACTCCTTCTACATTTCTATTATTCTTAATAACTTCTCTTAAAGTTTTTCTACTTCTTCCTCTATCTCTAGTTGGGTGACTCATTTCCATCTGATCTACTCTACTTTCAACATAATCTACAGGTCTTCTTGCTACATACTCAAACCACCTAAGTCTATTTTCCACCATATTTTTTACTATAGGTGCTACCGCAACACTAAATAATTGATTACATTAGAAGATGCTTCCGATTTGTATGGTGATAGGTGAACATGCATATAACTTTGATCAATATTCCTAGTACCTACTAAATTCAACACGAAGCAATACCAGAAGAATCTTCTATAAACATTTCTCTTTGATTCCTTGGAAGATAAAACTAATTGCATTAATAATGTAAAAGATATCCAAGCCAATGGTGTCCAAAACTATCTTTGAAGAATGAAAGATTTTAAAAAGGATAATCATTTCTCTTTCAATGCAGCAACGGTAACTTACTACAACATGAAGACTGATAAATAATGTTTGTAATTTTAACTCGAAAAAATAATTGGTAAACTGCAATGAAACATATCAGCTGACCTCTTCCAGATTTCATCGCTTAAATTAAATATCCTCACAATATCCATGGAAGGTGGTGTCTGTCCAAGATATGAATTGCAGACAAAACCGGTGCCTGTAAAATATTAACTTTAGATTGTAAAACATAATAAACTTATTAGCTGCTTAATAATGAAAGCACAAACTACCGATCACTAGATCAAAAGATGGTTAAGAATGGTAAGTGAATATGTCGATAAATCACAAGCATAATTAGAAGAAAAATAGCAACATTTAAATGGCCAACATTGTTTAAATTTATATCACACCTCCTAAACGTTCTGCCACGGCACCAGTAAGAAGGCCACCAACCATATCAACGACAAGAATGTCAGAATTAGAAGAAACATTAGCCATTGAAAGTAGAAGGGACAACGTATCCACCCTCAAGAACCTGAATCAGTTATAGTTAGTTAGAAACCAAATCAAGTGAGAATGATCCTCCAATTCAATTCTACAATAGCCACACATACACCCCTTAACATTTTTCAGACTAATAAGATGCCGCACACGATACACTGCCCAAAACACAAGAAAAAGTGAACTCACAATATTTCCATCCAGCTACTGACAATGATGTCAGAATTCCCCAAAAACAATAATCAAGAATTAGTTGTTTAGAGAAAATGACAAAATAGCAGTTGTCATATTTTAACGCCTATTTATCAATTCAAAATTCTATTACATTGGTGGTAGAAATTTGCTCTTTTCTACTCTTATTCTTTTCTCTTCTTTGACATAAGCCACATTCAGACATTAAAGATATTATAATGCCATCTCTTCATGATTAACGTCATGCTCCAAAAGAATAGCTCAAATCTAACATAAAAAATGGGTACGGTAAATACGCCTTACCCAATTTTCAATGGATACTTCTTGAAATAGGCCTCACATATGCTGGAAAAAAGAGTGACAACCATAAGTCATTAGTAGATACTCAAAATATCTAAAACTAATAATAATAATAATAATAATAATAATAATAATAATAATAATAATAATAATAATAATAATAATAATAATAATAATAATAATAATAATAACAACAACAATAACTTAAAAATAAAGGTCACCTTCGAGCAACAGGACGCCTTATAAGTACCCTTGGTGCATACTTCTTCTGCTTTTTAAGTCTATATTTCTCCTGCACAGATATCATGAGCTTCAGTTCATTCCCTAAATAAAGACAAAGTAAACAATTTGGTCCATAAAAGATGTTCATTTTACTTGTGTTGTTATTATCCCGAGGGTTCCTGTCTTACACAAAGTAGTCCCAAGAGTTGCCACTTAGCTAAAGAGTTCACTCTTCAGTTATTTGGTATCGTTAGAGAGCCCTTCTAAAGAAGTTGGGGTAGAATGTTAAATGCATACATCTAATACTATATTCGTATATTATTATCTCAATGCCCTTATAAGTAATGTTTTACACTCGCTCACTAACACCAAATGCCCAAAGGGTGGATTTGTAAGAAATTCCTGGAACTGATTTGTATAGACAGAAGGGGTTTAAAATAACACATATAACATTTATTAGTAACCAAATTACATCTTTATTCTAAATATAAGCTACATAATCTCTCTATACACTTAAGTATATACCTGTGAGAATGATGTTTTCTTATCAAATGTTGCACTATTGGCAATTAGAGCTTCAATTATTTCATCACCCTTAGCACCCTGTCTGCATAAGAGAATAGCATAATTTATATGTGGATTGCAGAATTCATACTGACAAGAATGGTACTAAAGATGTATTTATTTATATAACACTTATATATCAAGGATATAGAACAGAAGTACACAAATAAAAAATGCAGGAAACTTTATCATTCCTTTTCATCAAGTCTCTGAAGTGAGAAGAGGCCATATTAAGATTAAAAATCCAAACAAAATAAGATGCCATCACCTTCGCATGTCTTCTATATCTTCACCAGTGAGGCTTTGTGCAGTATTATTGTCGATCAACGACCGGTTGTCCTTCAGCTCACTGTTGGGTTGATCGTCTTTTAACTCAGTTTGGAAATGACCATCTTTTGTTTCAACGGTGTTATTTACATCACCTAAATGCCAGATCGAGATGTAGCATGCAAGTTAGAGTGAGAGTAAAAGCCTAGAATACAGGGGAAGTATATTCGGAATATGGATAAACCACAAAGAAGCTAAAATCAATTATAGACAACCTCCCTCCCTCCCTTTGACTCTAGAACCACACACTCTTAGGATTTAATATCTTCGAAAACAAAAAAAAAAAAAAAAAAAAGAACTTGCCTTTGGGTTGGAATGGCGATAGAAAAGCACCGTCGGAAGAAGTGTCAAGTTGAAAAACAGTACCAAAGGGACAACCGATCAATGGCTGCAATGAACAATTCTTATTACCAATCTTCAATTTCCTGCAAAATTAACAATTCATGCATTGTTAATAAATCAATGGGAAAAGAGAAGAAGCGAAGAAGGAGACAGACGCTGCAGGGGAGAGACGGGCGAAGACGAGTCGGTCGCCGTCGTTGATATCAAGCAAAACGCTGCAACCTTCCCATGTGATTCTGGAACTCGATTTGCTATTGTTTTCCGTTGAAGACATTTTTCTGAATATAAGATGATAGATAGAAGATCCTTCCACTGAATTGAAAATGATGTTTTTATTTTATTTTATTATGTTTGGGTGCAGTTAACTTGTTTCAGTTATGCTGATGATGATGATGCCATAAACCCTGAAACAGAAAGAGACTCAAACTAGGGTACAGCTTTTTTCTTTTCTTTTCTGGTTCATTGGACCACGGGTTTGGGTTATTGAAAAGTTGGGTTTCATATTGGGCTTTAATCTATATGGGAATTGCTTCTCCACATTTCACAATTTCTTTTCCCACCCATATATTTTCTCTCAAATTTTTGCCAAAAATCTAAAAACACTCCTAATTTTTAGAGATGTATTTTTGAATGTATTTATTTTTCATAAAATTGAACGCAAACAAGTAAGTCACTCTTATTATATTTTATTTCAGAGATGGATATTCAGATAAATCTTATTTTTACGAAAATTTTGTTTTCAGATAAACATATCCGAAAAATTTTCTATTATTTTTTTTTAACTTAGTATTTGGTGTATCCATATAAGCAGACCTAGTATTCATGCATCACCAATACAACAAATATGTAAATATCAACAATGTTCATATTGGAAAAAAAATAATTGTAAAATAGAAAAATGATTAAAATAAGTTATAATAATATGAAAATACAACTAAAAATTAAATATAATCAATTAATAGTCTACAAATTTTTTCGAAAATATTAAAACAAAAAATAAATCAAATAAAATAGAAAAACAAAGGCCAGAAACCCATGAACGTAAGGGGCAAAACGCAAGGATACTATTCTTATGACTCTAATATTAGTTAAAATTAACAGAGTCCTCGACTTAAGGTACTTGATTTATGAAGGATGGGGTGATTTAAGGTGTGTATGAAAATGCATTTTCGAAAATTTCTGAGAGTATTTTTGGGTTTTCAAGGATTTGGAAGAAAGTACAAGCGTGGAAAAAGAAATTGCCCTAGATTTCTACCAGTCACACCATAGTTAAACTTGACATTCTATTATTTTTTTATTAACTAAAATGTCCTTCTTATTATTTATTTATCTATTTTAAAATTATAATTGGTCAAAAAAATTTACTCTCGAAAAGCTGTAAAATTCTAAACCTCTAGTAGTTAAAACAAAAAATCGGTATAAAAATTTTGAAATTTGGGAATTTTTTTCTATTTTATCGGATTTTAAAAAATCGGTACGTTTTTATTGAATTTTAAATAAAAAATCATTAATTTTTAGGAAAAATGTTCTTTTTTATCAAATTTTTATCCAATATTTTTGGGGAAACGATATCACTAACCGAATTTTTCAAAAAATCTGAGAAACATCAAAAAAATTATGAATTTTTCGATAATTATGGTATATCATATTTATTTCGAATATAAAAAAATTTGGTTGTTCATAATACTTTATTTGTGCTGTCTAGATCTTGATGCTTCCTCTACAGATTTTATGCAGTTTTTCACTGTTAACGTTGTATATTTTACTTGCATGTTTTCTTTTTAACTTGTTCAAAATTTAATAGGCTTTCGATAGCTTTGTCATTGGTATTTCATTCTTCACATGTTGTTATTGACATATATTTCACTCCCGATTTGACGTGCTAGTATGGGCATAATTCATTGGTAAATAGCATAGTATTATTGTTGTTATTGTTCGTTCTGATTCACAAATGGGATCAGAGGAAAAAAAAGATAAATTTATTATGGGTTGTGAGAGAGTAGAAAACTACAAAAAGAATAATTCATCTTAAGGCATTTATAGTATGAAAGTGAAATGTCCATTTATGTTGAGATATGTGATAAATGGTAGCGATTAGAAGGTGATGGCTATGTTTGGATTTCACAATCGTTAACTAGTTATGGATTTAGATGACCATGACAGCTTAGGTCGTTTAAAACATTGTGAAAGACAGTTTATGAATGACATAACAAAATACAATATGTCTCTCAGGTACATAGTTGGTGCTTTGAAAGATAGAGATTTAGAAAATCTCACGAGTGTTACACAAAAGTACAAGGAAATATCTACATATAAGACGAGCAATAGATGTCCATTAAATGAAATACAACATGTGTTGAGTATAATTCATGAAGAGAAATACATGTCCTAGTTTAGAAACAAGGACTATTCAAATGTTGTTGATATCTTTTAAACACATCATGATTCATCGAAGTTATTAAACATGTTTTATTTTTGTAATACGGTGGGAGAACTGACTTAGGTGTTTTGCGTTTGATCGCAATTGTTGCGGATAGTAAGAGTCGCCACCGACTTTTCTTTTATCCAAAAGGAAAGGTTGAAAAGAACAAGAAAGACCTTTCGAGATTATTTCTTGAGTTCAGGGGGTAGGTTATGAAAAGGGAAGGTATTAGCACCCTTTTCATCCGTAGTTATCTACGGGCTCTTAGTTGCTTGCTAGATCACTTGCTTTTGTTTGGAAATGTGCTTGTGGTGTGGGTTTTAAAAGTATTTTGAAAACGTCTTTGTAATGGCTCTCGTTTCTATAAGAACGCGTACAAAGTATTGTTTTGAAAATAGTTCAAAGAGGTGTTTGTGGAATGTGTTTTTTGAAAATGATTTTGAAAAGTGACTTTGTAATGGTTCTCGTTTCTATAAGAATGCGTGTAGCAATAAAAAAATGTAGTGGGATAAATCGGAGATCGAGCTATTAATTAACTCGACTCACAAAAGCAAGAGTCGTCACCGCACTTTATTATTTCCAAGGGAAAAGGGAAAAGAGCAAAATAAAACCCTAAAATATGCAATGTAAAATAATACTTAAAAGTAATGAAAATACAATGCGTTTTCGAAAAGAGATCTAAATTTCGGGGGTTGGTTATGCAATGGGAAGGTATTAGCATCCAATGCATCTGCGGTACTCCGCAGGAACCTTTTGAAATATCTGTTTTTTGTTAAAAATGGTTTGTTTGATTAAAATGGTTTGTTTGGTCAAAATGGGTGCGGACGAGATTTTGAAGATACGACGACCTAGTGTCGAAGTTTTGGCTTAAAAAAAGTGTGTGAATTTAAAAATTGATTGGTAGGAAAATTAACTTAAGATTAACAAAATAGTAAAACAAAAATGAATGTAGGGATTCACGCAATCGTATTTGAAGACATGAAGTCAACAAACTAATTCTTTCCCTTGGAATGAATCGAGTGAGTGAAGTAAAATGGACATCAAAATATAAGCATTCAAAAATTCACAAGAAAATAAATCTAATAAAACAGGTTAACGACCAAAAGGCACCGAGAAATTAAAATAACAGACATATTTAAATATAAATAAAAGAGGATGCAACTAATTATCTGAAGAAGTTATCTGAACTAAATAAAAAAAATTAAGATTACTTACTAAAATGATTCTAAACTAACTACAAATTCTAAGGTTATAAAAATAATTCTATAATTACTAAATTAGATCTAAGCTAAATTAAAGTTCTAAGATTATTAAAATTAAAAATCTAAAATTACTAAGTTTAATTTAAATTAAGTTAATTCTAAAGTTACTAAATCATATCTAATATAAACTAAATTAATTATAAAAGAAATACGTGAAAACAGAAAATTAGGGGTGATATCAATAAGTTTTGGATGGACATGCTGATTGGAATAAGGACCAGGGCATGGAAAAACAAAACAAACTAAAAAAACAAGAATAGACTTTGTTGGGCCAGACCGGATTAGGCCTGGACCCGTTTTTTAGAAAGAGATCAAGGAAAAGTTTTTTTTTAACCCTAGACACAAAGGCGTCGTTTGGTTGTTATCGGGAAGGGAAAAGTCAGGTTATCATCATTTCCAAAAAAACTTTGTTCTCTTTGTCTTAACGTGAAACAAAATCAAACTCTCTCTTCTAAAATTCCTTGGCTTCATCTTCTACTCAAGTGATAAAACAATAACAAAATTGACTCTTCTCCTCAATTCCTCGAATCTCTCACGGTTCTCTGAATGTTCATTATCAACACTTCAATCATCAATCCTGTTTGCAATCCTTCATCTCTGCCTCAACTCTCTTCATCATCTATGCATCAATCTTAAACATTGTATCTCCATCTTCACCATGTCGCTCAACAGCCTCACAACTTACAACATCGACTTCGACATAGCGTAATCTTTGTTCTTCAATCTTCAATAATCAACAACAAATCTGAGTTTAGCGGTGGACGAATGATGTTTGTTAAAACGGAACAGAGTTTGACGGTGATGTCGGTGTTATGGATGTTGAATCGTGAGTCACGATATCGGTCCGCTGAAGGGTTACAGTGATCGATTACAGAATATGTGGTTCTGTTGAGCGAAAGTGAGATGTGAGGGTTACGGTTGTCGTTGTGATGTTGGTTCTGTGATAATATTGATGAGCCAGTTATGGTGCATAATTTTGGTTTGATTGAAGGTTAGGGTATGGTTGAGGCGGGACCAGAAGTAAGGGTGAATAGAAAGTTCGAAAGGGTGTTCTGGAACTGGGGTGAGGCGGATGAAGATGATGCTGCTGAGTTATCTGTGAGGTTCTTGAGAAAGTGAATATCAAAACCCATAGAAGAGATTTTGTCGTAACCTACAGGTACATATTCTTTTTACTGCTCTTTCCATTTTTTTCAGTACTGTTATGCGTTTTTTTACATTATTTTCTGGTTTCATCATCCTTATGGTTAACGACGACAATATTCCTAATCTCAGGATTACGATTCAAAGGCAAACAACACTATAATATAATGATTCTATTCTATTCATACAAACATCAATACAACTCTTCAAATTAATTGAAGGAAGGAAAGGTAGACTAACCTGGTCAGAGCTCTGATGCCGGCGAGAGAGAATAAAGAAAACCGCAAGTAAAATTTTCTTCCTTAATTCTTGGTATGGCTGCTGAGATCTACATGATTTACGATGAAGTTGGGGGAAGACTTGAAAATAATCTTGGCAGTATTGTCGTTCTTATTTCCTCATATTCTCTTTTGCCTCATTTTTTATATGTTGTGATGTTGCTTTGTA